AGAAATTGAAGTATCACAAACGATATAAAATGTATGGTAATAAAAGAGATTATGACACATTTGCACTTCTTAGATCTAGAAGAAAAGTATTAATTAGGGAATGCTATAGATCCTTACTTAATGACGTGGAATGCAGCGTTGATGGTAAAATGCGTAGTTTTTGGAAATTCGTTAATAGTAAAAGTCAAGTATGTCTTTATCCCAAACCATGATATATAATAATAATACCTACAGCATCAGATTCACAAAGCATTTGTGATTTATTTTCACAATACTTTTCATCGGTTTATGTGTTCCAGTTCTACTAGTACCTCTCATGAACATTTGATCGATATATTTCCATTCTTAACAGTATTAATTTGTCCTGCCATATATTCTAACAAGCATTCGAAAACTGGATACCACGAAATGGCCCGGACCCGATGGTATTCCAGCAATATCCGTTAAGACTTGTGCTGAACTGGAACATTGTATTCCATTATGCATTATCTTTAATAAATCTCTAAAAACTGGAAAGTTCCCTTAAATATGGAAGACTGCCTACATAATACCAATCTTTAATCTGGTGACAAAACAAAATGTGACAATTATCGACCAATAAGCATATTGTCTTGCCTGGCCAAACTTTTGAGTGTACTTGCATCTGTATAATCATGTTAAACAACAAATAACTCCATTACAACATGGTTTCATCGTGGGCAGATCGACTATAAGTAATTTACTCGTTTACAAAAATTATATTTGTTCCGCTTTTGCCGATAAGGGTCAGATAGATGCAGTGTATACAGAAGGCTTTTGACCGGGTAAATCATTAACTTTGGTGTGCAAAGCTCTCGGATTATGGGATTCACGGAAGTTCACTTAGACAGTTTGAATCATATGTTACCAGACGTAATCAAATTGTCGCTATAAGAGGTCATCTGTCGGTGCCAACTCCGGTACCTATGGGAGTTCCCCAAGGTTCTCATCTTGGGCCACTAAAGTTCAATATTTTTATAAATGATATTATTGATTGCATTGACAGTTGTTGCCTCTTGTATGCTGATGATATGAAATTATTTCATACAATCAGGGAGACTAGAGATTGCCTTGCTTTACAACGTGACACTGATGCTGTCACAGAGTGGTGCACTAGGAATTACTTACATCTTAATGTAGCGAAGTGTTTTACTATCACTTTTACCACAACGCATTCGGCAGTTCAGAACAATTATACTATAAAAGAACAGCAATTGAAACGTAACAAGTGGCGAAAGATTTAGGTGTCTATTTTGACTTGAAATTGAATTTCCATACACATTTAAATTATGTTACTAACAGAGGGTTTCAGATGCTGGATTTTATCATTAGTGCTTCGAAGGGTCTTAAAAAGCCTTTAACCTTATTCCGACTTTACTATGCTTTAGTTAGGCCAATTTTGGAATACGCTTCTGTAATTTGATCACCATTCTATAATGTTCACTCGCAAAGTATTGAACGAGTTCAAAAATCATTTTTGAGATCAGTTTGTGGTAGGTTCGGTTTACTGCGAAGTCTGCAATCGTATGCCAATAGGGTTGAGTACTTTAAGGTGCCGTTATTGGAAAAAAGGCGAGATTTTAATGAACTCATTTACTTACATAAAATCATACATTTTATAGTGGATTGTCCCGATCTTTTAAGCCAAATTAATTTTAATGCCACTTTGGCATTAAAATACGCCACGTCTCCAGGTGCCGAGAATTTTTCGTCTTAATGTATATAAAAATAATATCTCTTTCTATAACCCCATAGTGAAAATGTGTCGAGCTTATGATGAACTTAACCTTCGGCATACAAGGTGAAATTTAGTAACAAGCCGTACAAGGTGGGGTGTGACATACCCTAATAAATCCACAAAACGTGGTAATATTATTGAGTTTGGGTTGAATTGATTGAGGTTTTAATATTATGCGAAAGGTCATATAATAAAATATAATTTTAAATTAAGTAATTGTTTATTATTATTAGGAACAAAAAAACAGTCAACTTCTGACTATATAACTGAATTGACTTGACATTAGGAACTATAACATAATATTTATTTTCATAAAATCACAGTAAAGGTTATAAAAATGAACACAATTGACTCTTAATGAGTGAACATATACATATCTATCCTTAAAAAGATAAAATAATAATAAAAGCTACTTTGAAATAATAAAAAATTATTCTCCATGTATGGAACAATTTTCACACAAAAAATGACAATGTTCGAGGCACAACGGTATGGAACATTTCTCGCATACATATTTGGTTTTGCGATCTTTTTTCCTAGGGCATTTGGAACATCTTTGGACACCATTCGTCTTTTTACCAGGTGAAGCCAATGATGGTTCTCCTAGATGTTCTCCTAATCTTTTACGTAATTCTTTGGGCAGCCTTTCGTTTTCTTTTCTATTTTTCTGATGCTCTTCCAGCAGCGATAAACCCAATTTCTTGAGAAATTTTCGCCTATGGTTAGATTTTTTCATTTGTATATTATTGTTTGATAGATAGACTATCATTGAGTTTATACCTGCATGATTCACCAAAGCAAAAAATATAGTGAGTGGCCACCGATTCGAGTTGCGGGAAACATCATAAGTTCTTGAAAGCTTATCAACTACATCTACGCCGCTTTTTGTTGCATTATAGAAGGTGATAATTTCTGGTTTTTGTTGAGCTCCAGTTTGTTCGTCTATTATTTGATCATGATGGAGTGATGACATTAAATAAACCATTTTTCTCGGTTTTGGCACATAAGACACCAAAGTGATATCTTTTTGGAACCCAAACATTGAAGATTTCTCCTCACGTCTGGTCTTGAATTCAGCTGGTAAACAGGTTTTATTTGCCCGTAAAGTACCGACAACAGTGAGCTTGTGGTACTCTAGTAAATGTTGTGTGCTCTCTAAACTGGTAAAAAAATTGTCCATTGTAACATTACGTGAAGTACCCGAAACGCATCTTACTATCCTGTCTACTACATCGTATGGTTTGTTGCTGACAGTGTATGGGCTGTTATCAGGTTGTTTTCCGCAGTAGATTTCTAAGTTTACTGTATAGAACGTTTTACAGTCAACGAGAGCATAGATTTTTATACCATATTTTGCCGGCTTCGATGGTATGTACTGTCTGAAACCACATTTTCCTCTAAACGCGACAAGCTCCTCATCCAACGTGAGGTATTCGTAGGGTGTATATGCGTCTTGGCAGTTGGTTACAAAACATTCGAATATATGTCGTATAGGTGCTAGTCTATCCGTTGAAGCTCTGTCTGTCCTTGTCAACATATCATCGAATCTTAAGTTATTGAGTAGAAAGGTAAATCTATTTCGTGTCATAGTTAGACGAAATATTTCAATACCCGTACCATCCGTCGCCCACAAGTCTTCTAAGTTTTCTCTTCCAGCGCGGTATACCCCAGCTAATATTAATAATCCGATTAATGCCTTAAGCTCAATAAGAGTAATTTCAGATCTCGTGCAGTCAATGGTTTCAGAAGTACCATATTTTAATAGTAGATTTGTTTGAATCCTGTTATTCGTGTGTATCAAAATTGAATACAGAATATCCTCCGACAAAAACAGTTCAAAACATTCTAAGTGTGATTTCTTATTCCTTGCATGCGACTTGACTCCCGGTGTTTCCTTTATTATGTTTTCATTTCTGGTACGTACATTTATTCTTGGTGGATTTTTCTGCCATTTTGTTCCGTCTTTACCAATGAAATAATTTCTAGAAACCGATAAAGTAGGGCTTAAGATGCGAGGATGTTCCCGGTTTGATAAAGTGGACTCATTTGAAGACTGGCGAGAGCGGGATTGCCTTATTGGATGACTTTGTAAGTGGGTAGGAAGCTGGTTGATATCCTCAGCATCTACCTCACTTTGATGACCTGACGCTATACTCAAGTGATCGGATTCGCAGTCATTTTCACACGGTATAACGGCGTCGCAATCGCTGTCGTCTTCTTCTAATAAACATTGTTCAATTAGCTCATCTCTAATACTAGCCATTATTTTTACCTATAACCAAAAATTGTATGGTATTGAAACATAATAAACATTATTATAATACCGAAAAAAAATAATAAGACCCTTACCTTTATATTTAAGTCCGATACAAGGTGGGGTGTGAGAGACCCAAAACACGTCCAGCGCCTAACAACGCGTGCATAACACTGAGCCAAAGACACCAATCGGAGCGGCAACGTTGCTAACTCAGCTACTAAAAGTGGCAACACTGACGCGTCATTATTTTAAAAATTGTAACGATTTTCAACCGTCCGGGGTGCACTAGACCCCATGTTGTATGCCGAAGGTTAAGCAAGGTAATGCTCATCTCGATAATTTTAATTCGATTATTAATTCATACAAGACGCAATTACGTGTATCGCTTGAGTTTTAGCTTTTGATCATTTTGTGTTCTGTTATATTATTATTACTATTATTTTTAACTATTTACACAAATCACTGTAAATTTTTTTTTATTAATTTCTTCGATTTGGATTTGGAGATTGTAGTTTTACACTAACCTAGTACTAAGACTTATTTTATCATGCTGTGTATTTTTAGTTTGTGCTGTGTACACTGTTTTTGGAATGTGGTCTAGGCTATTAATGTATCAAGCTGTATCTGTTACCATGATATGTATTGTGTTAAAATAAAATAAAATAAAATATAATCAGCGCATGTGCGATGTTGAAAAAATATCAACACCGTTCACAAACAAACAAATAAATAGTGTTTTTATCAGTGATCATCAATGTAACAAAGATATAATAAAATTCTAGAATGCGGGATGTTTAAAAGAAATACTAAACCGCTATCTGCGAGGAGCATAAAAAAAATGAAGTTGACGTTTGCCGTGATTATTATACAAAAATTTTTGTGTTTTATTCACGTTTTATTATAATTTATTATTATCTTAAAACTAGAAACAATCATGCAAAACTAATGGAATTTAACTAATCTTTGTAAAATATTTAATAAAGTCTTCTATTATAATGCGTAACGATCACAGGACTGATGCGGAAAAGGAGGCGGGTGCCAGTCTCCTAAAAAACTATGGTGAATTTTTCAAGAAACAATATCAAGACTTTCAGTCTACATCCGGCGATAGGAACTGGTCAGAAAACAAGACCTATGTGCCGATACAAGTGGACATGATACAACATGAATTGTTACCAATCACATACTTGGTGGCGTCGGATAACACTCTCATGACGAAAGTCCTGAGTGTCCTGTCGTCGTTGTGCGTTGAGGTGATTACTTTAAAACAGGAAGCGTTCGATAGGTTAGTAATAAAAATAATAGACTTTTAAATTTTGTACAAATTTTAATTGTTGTAAACATGTATTTACCTACCTGCCCCGTTATACAATTTATGTGATTTTGCTTGATGTGAGTACACTGTCATTTCCCTGCTGTTAAAGCTTCCTGAAGCGTTCCACTTTGTTGCTAGCCATACCAGAACACTAATAGGACTCTTGCAGCTGTGTTACACTTGGACTGGAGTACTGTAATGTAATTATTTCCATCATATAATTTCCATTTATTGGCATATAAAATTACCATGAGCTGTGGGAGCCTAATGATTGACCTAGTGCCTCTAAAGCAGAGGCTGTCTTCAAATCCAGATGCAAAATTTTTTGGTGAAGCGAAACATGATAAAATCTGCATGTCGAAGAAGATTCATTACCCTCAGAAAATGTGTGAAGTCCTCAACCTGCATTGGGCCAACATGGTGAACTATAAATCCCTCACCTGAGAGAAGACTTGTGCCCAGCAGTGGGACGTGAAAATGAGTAGGTGATGGTAACTCCCATAGTCACAAGTAGTTATGAAATTGGTAAACATTTTCTGAGAATACTCCAGTATCTTCACTTCAGTTAGTCTTAAACTCAGTGAAAACTCTAATGGTCGTATTCCAGAACTGTACTCAATGCTCAAGTCAGGATTTGAGCAGACTTGAGTATGATTTCAAGCACCGGAAATACGACCCTAATGGCAAGGACTTGAGTATGATTTCTAGTGCTTTGAATCATACTCAAGTCCTGACTTGAGCATTGAGTAGAGTACTGGAAGACGACCCTAAATTTTCTAAGGTTCAGCCCTTAATGAGTAACAGTTGTATTTTACATTTACATAGTCTTAGTACGTACTGTTAAAGATGTGACCATGTTTTAAAGTAAATAGTAAGCATTGCTCAGTATTATAATATGCTAACATGATTGCAAAAATACATCTTCATCTTTCCAGGCACTTCACTTTCTTGTCAGTATATGAAGAATATGGTATTACTGACATGAACTCCCAAATGGAATCAGTTTGTTTGCTGAGTGCATTTATTAGTCGTTGTGATGAGACACTGCGCAATCTATGTAGCCAGGTGTTCGCCATATTCACTGAAGCTGTTATTAATCTTAGTAAGTCACAATTTTATTTTATTTGGTGTAAAAGAATGTGTATCTTAAATTATATGTCTATGTCATATGTATTTCTGAATTATTTTTTTTGATATTTCAAAATTTTAATATTCACAAAATAATTGTCATCACATTTAATTTTGCTGAACAAACTTTGTTACCTTGATTTCAGATGGTATTCAGCTGCACTACATAATAAACCACATTGGAGAACTATTTACAATCATAGTTCTGATGGAGCTACTCATCTCAAATACATCTTTGCCTGCTACTTGGAACAAGTACTGCAAGAACCTCAAATTACTTAGCCACATGCAGAACATTGACTTGATCGAAGAAAAGTTACAAGCATTAAGCTCTGCTGTAGATAACATTACAAAGAAGCTTATGTCAGACAATATAGTTCAAAACACACTCCAAAATCTAGCCACTCTAAGGAAGAGTTTAGTAGACAAAAACTGCTCAATGGTATCGTCAGAGTTCACAAATTACCTAAAGCAAGCCATAATTAACTTAGACAAACTAGTACAAGATATACCCAATGTGACAACAATGTATAAATGCGTCAAGATTAATGCGCTGTTTGTTCTCAGCTCACATTTATTTGGCAATATCGATAAGAAAATTTTCAAATCATTGATTGAATTGAATACAAAGGTCTCTATCAAGTGTACCACCAATTATTGTGCTATTAAATACTTGTTATTTGCTTCTTTATTAAAATAATGTTTTATCATTTCTAGGCACACAGTGTCCACATAATTGGTACGACAGTTTGGTTCCCAGAGCAATTCCTACAAAGATATGCACCAGCACAAAGTTCAAGTTATGGAAAGATGTCACAAACCATGATTAAAGCGCGCCAAACTTATATAAGCAACAAGAAAGCAAGTTTGGCTCGAGATATGACCTCTCTGCAAGTCATGTGCGCACAGTGGGTGCTCAGTGTCGAAGACGCCTTTTCTGCTAGTCACCACAAACTAAATGCATCAGAAATGAGCTTGCATGCAAAATTACTCTTGGAGGGTCTTAATGTAGCCTCAAATATAAACTATTCTGTACTAACTTTGATCAATGTACATGTTTCACTTGGAGTGCCATTATCAAAAAGCATGCTGATGTCATTGTTCGAAGTCATAGACATGTTAAAATGCCTTACAAATGCAGTGTCGCGAAATCGCAATCAAATTTTAAACTCTCTAAACATGACGATCCAACATTTCATTTTCCAAGCAATATCTTCAATACTAGAGGTAAAGAAAGCATTAATGACTGACAAGAACTACGCCAACAAGAGATTAGATGAGCTCACTTGTCTTGTAATAGCAGAACGATCTCTAAGAGGTGTGGCGTCTTTAGAACGTAACGTAGCCGCCAATGTTGCGTTGAGCTTTGTGCCAGACACTACTTACCTGGAAGATAGCTATGTGAAACTTGGAACTTTACTAGAAAAAGTACAAACCTTGTCAAATTTTACTAAATCCATGGATAACTTCTGCAACTGCTCATGGATGTTATGGCATCAACATGTTATACCAATCTATTTGGACCAGAATTTCAGTATTCAGTTGAATGCTCTGAAGTTAAAGTATTTCTTGATGGTATTGGAAGATTGTGCAGTATTATTGCACAAAACAGACAAGCAATATAAAAAACATAAATCCAAAGATTTTATAAGCAGTATGAAAAGCATGATAAATGAAAGTTTACTCAGAACCACCAGCCAGAACATAGAAACGAATTTACGTTTGCACATTCACTCTCATTTGCAACTGGATGTTGTGAATCCCTTCACATTCGACATGGTTAAAAAACTGCTATTGGTGATTGATAACTTCAGAATCCAAAATATCTACATGTCTGTTGTGCCATCAGTGGAGCACTACTTATCAACTATGTATTATAATTTGACTACAGTTGTATTATCTGACTGGAAAACTTATGGAGAAATGCGACAAATGGCCAAATTTAAATTGAACTTAAAAACGGTACAAGACAATCTTCCGACACAGACTCTAGAACAGGGTCTAGATGTATTGGAAATCATGCGAAATATACACATATTTGTTTCTAAATACCTGTACAACTTGAACAATCAAATTTTCATTGAGAAGAGCAGCAACAACAAACATTTGAACTCAATAAATATCCGACACGTCGCCAACTCAATTAGAACTCACGGTACGGGTATTATGAATACCACAGTGAACTTTACATATCAGTTCTTGAAAAAGAAATTTTTCACATTTTCTCAATTCATGTATGACGAACACATAAAATCGAGACTAATCAAAGATCTGAGATACTTTAAAGAAAATGCTGAAGTCAATGAAAACATGTATCTCTACAAAAATGCAGACAAATTCAACAAAGGGATTAGAGTACTTGGCCTCGCTGAAGATGGTCAAAGCTACTTAGATCTTTTTAGAGATCTTATTAGTCAGATCGGAAACGCGATGGGATATGTTCGTATGATCCGTTCAGGCGGAAGACATTGCTGTTCCGACGCTACCGTCTTCTTGCCTACTCTTGATATAAGTAAATCCTTCAAAGAGTTGTGCGAGGAAGAAAACCTGGGGCATGATGCCATTCAAGCATCTGAAATTTTAGATAACAATATTAATTGCTTGATTACGAATTTCCTACAGGGTACGGAGTATTTCAAGTTGCTCGTCGACGTATTCGCGCCAGTATTTCGCAACCCTAAAAATGTCCATTTGAAGAATTTTTTCATAATTGTTCCACCATTGACATTGAACTTTGTAGAACACATGATACTGTCGAAAGACAAAATGTCTAAGAAAAATAAAGTGGGTGCAGCCTTTACTGATGACGGGTTTGCTATGGGTGTGGCTTACATTCTAAAACTATTGGACCAAGTACGTAAAGTTACTCCACATTATTTAAAACACGTATACGACTTATGAACGTAACAAAAAAATGTTGCTTTTCAGGACTCCAATTTCGAAGCTTTGCATTGGTTCGACTCCATCTGGAAGCACATAAAAGACGAAAGAAGAGCCCTTGAGGAACAGAAATTAAAAGGTTCAGTGCAGTTACAGCAAGCCTTAGCCCTTACAGAGAAGAAAATTAAAACTCTCGAAGAAGAATACAAACTCCTTTATTACAGCCTCACTAGCGCAAGGATATTTTTCAGATAACTATTCAACACAGGCTTATATTGTATTGTGTAGTTACAATGTATGTAAGATTATGTATGTATTTGTATTTGGAATTTGTGATATGACACCAAATTGCATATTAATGATTAATCTAAAAACATTTTAATATTGTTGTAGTTAGTTATACATGTATTATAATAAGACCAAGTAAAACATAAATGATTTATTTACATACCATCCATTTTATTTCTTGCTCATTTATTTATTTAGTATTACTTTTTTGTAGAATTTATTATCTACAAACTCTTAACCCATTAAAACACATAAAAAGACCAAGGTCATAATCATCATGTCATATCATAACGTCAATTGTGTTAATCAATCACAAATACAGACAATAACATCAACATGTTACAGAAATTCATAATTATCATTTTCACTTTGAAGTCTTGCCACAGTACACGTCACTATTTTCATTAAAGTATGCACTTTCCTATTTTGCCACTGGTTGAACAGGGATGGGAATGAAGGAAAGAAGGTTGGAAGGAAGGTTACCTACCAGCAAAGAGTCTGGAGTTGTATTTGTTGCTATGAATAAAGTAAAAATGGAGCCCAGCAATCAAATAAGACATTACGTTTAAGGAACGAACTGAAAGTATATTTTTTTCTGCAGATGTAAAGTCCTTCGTGAATTAAGAAAATATTTAAAAAAATCTGAACTTAAATGTTGCATTTAGTCGTTGTTTACTGTTTCTTTGGATAAACGGAAAAAGTCAGCAGCGGCTTCGCGTTTCGAATTCACAACGTGATTCGAATTGAGAGTTTCAGTAGTTATATTATGGTCGATCATGGACGAGTCGACATTGAGTGCCGAAGTTGATTGATAAGAATAATTAACCGTGGATGAAGCATTGCATACTGAGGTCAATGTTGAAGTGGACGGCACCAGACTCTGCCACTGTGAATTCAGGTACTCGTTATAATCCTGTATCTCAAGTGGATCATTGCTCAGATGCATGGACGAAGTGAAAGGTGCTGCAGATGTAACGCGACTACAATGAATATCCCTGGGTGTTTCACTGTTACAAGCGTCTAATGATGAACGGAAAAAATGAGCAGCGGGAAAGCGATTAGATTGTGTGTTGAGGAACGAATTTGAAGCATTATAAGCTATGCCATCGTTGGATTCGGTAAACACGAATGAGCTGAAACGACGTGCGGATGAAAATTGGTAAGAATTATCAGCCATGTACGAAACTTTAGGATCAGTAACGGTAACGTCATCACGTTTACGTTCTGAGGGTAACATTGACACCATTGGAGTAGGACATTGCAAACTACTCGTGTATTTGTTGTCAATATGTACTGGAAGGCGATGATTGCTATGCAAAGAAGTTCTGATAAGAACTGCATCAGTAACGTCTTGGTTTTTAGCAGTCATAGATAAACGGAATAAGTCAGCAGCGGTAACGCGGTTAGAATTCACGTCGAGAAATGAACGAAGGTTATCAGTACATATAGCGTGATTAGACTCGGCGACAGTGGACGAGTTGACATCTGATGGAGGAAATTGGTAAGAATTAACGACCACGGATGAAGCAAAATCATACTGAGGTTGTATGCAATCATACTGAGGTTGGCGTTGAAATTTTGGTCAGTGACGAGGCCTGGTGTCGCAAAGAACTCTGATATTTGTTGTATACAGAAACCTGATGTAAATCAGCACTTGGTTCTGCATATGCAGATGTGACACAATTAGAATTAATATCCATGTTAAAATCGTTGTTATTAGCAACCAAGGATAAGCGGAAAAAGTCAGCAGCGGTAACGCGGTCAGAATTGACGTTGAGAAACGAACTGATAGTATCAGTAGACGTAGCATGATTGGACTCGGAGGTCGTGCACAAGCTGACATGTGATGGAGGAAATCGGTAAGAATCGACGACCATGGATGAGGCATTGCTTACTGAGGTTACCGTTGAAACAGTGGTCAGTGTCGCGGCCTGGCGTTGCAAAGGACTCGGATATTCGTTGTAAATATAAACTTGGAGTTTATCGTCAACCGGATCTGCAGATGCACTTGTGACTCTATTAGAATTAATTTCCTTGTAATCATTGCTATTAGCAACCAAGGATAAACGGAAAAAGTCAGCAGCGGTTGCGCGGTTAGAAATGACGTTGTCAGTAAATGAAAAGTGGTTGAACTTCGCGATCGTCGACGAGCTGATACGTGATGCCGGAAATCGGTATGAATTAACGCATACGGATGAAGCTTTGCATACTGATGTTACCGTTGAAATCTTGGTCAGCGACGAAGGTTGCCGTTGCGAAGAACTCGTATATTTGTTGAATACAGAATCCTGGTGTGAATCGTCATTCGGTTTTGCGTATATAGATGTGACACAATTAGAATCAATATCCGTGTTAAAATCATTGTTGCTAGCTACCGAGAAAAAGTCAGCAGCTGTAACGCGGTCAGAATTGACGTTGAGAAACGTACTAATAGTATCAGTAGAAGTAGCGTGATTGGACTCGGAGGTCGTGGACAAACTGACATGTGATAGAGGAAACCGGTAAGAATCGACGACCATGGATGAGGTATTGCTTACTGAGGTTACTGTTGAAACAATGGTCGGTGTCGAGGCCTGGCGTTGCAAAGATCTCGGATATTCGTTGTAAATATAAACTTGAAGTGTATCGTCACCCGGATCCTCAGATGCACTTGTGACACTATTAGAATTAATTTCCTTGTAATCATTGCTATTAGCAGCCAAGGATAAACGAAAAAAGTCAGAAGCGGTTGTGCGGTTAGAATTGACGTCGTCAGTAAATATAGCGTGGTTGGACTCCGCGATCGTGGACAGGCTGACATTTGATGAAGGAAATCGATGAGAATTAACGATCATAGATGAAGCATTGCATATTGAGGTTACCGTTGAAACAGTAGTCGATGTCGTAGCCTGGCGTTTTGAAGAACTCGGATGTTTGTCGTATACAGACACTTGAAGTGAATCGTCACTCAGTTCTGCATATGCAGATGTGACACAATTAGAATTAATATCCCTGTTGAAATCATTATTATTGGCAATTAAGGATAGACGGAAAAAGTCAGCAGCGGTAACGCGGTTAGAATTGCCGTTGAAGAACGAACTGATGGTATCAGCAGATGTAGCGTGGTTGGACTCCGCAATCATGGACGAGCCGATATCTGAAGGAGGAAATCGGTAAGAATGAACGGTCTTAGATGAAGCGTTGCATACTGAGGTTAACGTTGAAACCGCAGTGGTCGGTGTCGGGGCCTGGCGTTGCGGAGTACGCGGATATTCGTTGTAAATATGAACTTGAAGTGAATCGTCACCCGTATCGGTAGATGTAGATGTGTCGTTATTAGAATTAATATCCTTGTTATAATCATTGCTATTATCAGCTGAGGATAAACGGAAAAAGTCAGCAGCGGTAACGCGGTTAGAATTCACATCGAGGAAAGTACTAGAAATAGATGTTGCGTGGTTTTGCTTTTGATTTGATTGGTTGATCTTTGACTTGATAAGACGTGTTGAACTAAATTGGTAAGAATTATCAACCAGCACGGAAGAAGTATCCAATGATACTGAGGTTACCGTTGGTGTCTTAGTGGTCGTCATCGGGACCTCGCATTGTAAAGTATTCAGGTACGCGCCGTCGAAATACGTTTCAGTTCGTACCTGGGCTGTCTTTTGTCACAAAACCTGTTCCACTTCACATCTGACCTGTGCCAAAAGAGCATTAATGGAAGTGCGGTCAAACTCATTCCCTGGCTTGGAACAAGGGAGGAAAGAGTGCGAAAAATGAAGGGGTACTGTAAAATCTTCCTGGCGCCTCAACCGTAAGGAAGTGTGGACCTGATGTCAGTAAACATGCTCCACGTCCGAATTAATTTGCGGTGAAGAATCAACACTGAGGTGGTCGATTTCAGAGTGTGAGGACGAACGGAACGAAGTTAGCCACGGGGACCCGAAAGACGAGTAATGCTCGAGGAGGGGAGAGGGCGGTAGAGAGTGGATATACTGAGGCGATGACTGTTTTGACACCAGCGGTGGGTGGCAGGAAGGGTACTGGTTGAAAATGAGTATCTGAGGGGGCGTGGGGGAGGCGCTGTGTCACTCGAACGGGGAACCGTCGGAAGGCGCGGGGGTCGTGGTGGGGGTTCTGCGCGGGTACCGGTTGAAGATGTGCACGTGCGTGACGCGACGTCAGTCGTCGTGCTCGTGCAGCTGCGCCAGCAGCGCCGCGCGCCGCGACTCCAGCTCCGCGTCGCTCCAAGCGCTCGACCCCGACCTGCGGCACACCCGCAACGTGTCCTCACTCAGTTCCGAACCGGAAATGATCCTTGCGATGCTCATACTGACCTCTCCTTGTCCTTTTTCTCTTTCTTATCCTTTTTCTTCTTCTTGTGCGCGTGCTCGTGGTCACCTTCAGGGCTGCCGGGCGCGCTGCGCTTCGACTTTTTGCTCTTGTGTCGCGTCGTCGGCTCGTCGTCCGTTATGCCGCCCTCCTCGGGGCTCGGCGATTTCTAAAACAACAAGAAGATCGCTAGTGGAAAACTCAATGTGACGACGACGCTGTCACATCGCAACGATCGATTACTACGTTACCGGCGCCGGGGAATGTTTCCGGTGCTTCTTCTTGATCTTCTTGTGTTTGCGTCCCTCCTCAGAGCTCCAGGTGCCGTGACTGGGCGCGGGCGACGGTGAGCGCGCCGTAGCCGCCGGCGTCGGGGACCGCGAACGGGATTTTGACTGCACATCACAATACCGACTTTCTTCGTCTTACTCTAACTTATACTATTAAGACAAATGTCTGGATTTATAAACGGTAACTGGACGATAAATTCAAATTTTAGGTGCCATATTCTACACGGACCTGATTACATGAAAAAGTTTGAATTTGGGGAATTAAACAAATGCTAACTTTGACGAACTCGTGGACTAAAATTATTCTAACAAATCGATAGTTTTCTACAATGCCGTGCAGAATGTTGCACATTCTGAATACAGCAGTGTTTTAAGTCAAATTATGACTTGGGCCACTATTCTTGAAAAATTATCTTAATTATTAATACGTACCAAAGAAGCGGAATGCGACCGCTTCTTTTTCTTGGATCGCTTTGCCTTTTTCGGTTTCGGGTGGTGGTAATGCAAGCAACTCTCTTCTTGCTCATGTTGGAAGTCCTAAAAATAAGTTATTAATAAATATTTCTTTTTGTATGAAATTGATCCATGGTACTTTTTACATGGTATTTAAACCAAACCTCGTGGTAGCTACCACCTACATACGCACTAAATATACATATTTGACAACAAGTTTGGATGTATGTAGGCTGGCCTACTGAAGATCTCAGCGATGTGGCCCGAGATGTCTTGAGAGATACGCGATAATAATAGTTTATTTCAATAACCATTTACAGCGAAGATTACACACAGGAAAATAAATAAAGTAAATAATAGGGAGTTGTTAACTCTGAAACTGGGAAAAACTTGTGCTACTCGTACTATGAATTTTCAACGAAAAAATTACGCAGTACTTTAAAGTACCACAAATTACTCGGCGTACACTAATGAACGTACCCTGTATATCCGAATGCGGTCTTCATCATCGGGCACGGCGGCGTACTCCGACGCAGATAGGTCGAGCTTCTCCTTGACCTCGTCCCACGACAACGTGTGGTCGATGTTTGCCTCCGTCAGCGCCCACTTGAACGCACTTTCGATTTTCTTCTGCGCTTTGGATTCCTCTTTCATTTTCTCTTTGTTCCTCGCTTCGGCCTTAATCAATAAATCGAACACTAAATATTGTCTTTATAAAGCCAACTATTGATTAGTCTAACTGAATCGCACAATAGACGACGCGCATTATGTTTGCTATATCATTCGTTACGCGTCATGGAATGTAAACTGGTAAATGCAATAGTTATTACGTAATATAGCGTTAGAAATATTGTGTAATAAATTAGGACTTTTGTATTTTTTGTTTAGAAATACCAGAACTTACTTTCTAGGAGTTCAAAGCCGACAAATTAAACTTTACACTTTTCGTTTACAAATACAGGAATTTACCTGTTCAAGTATGGAATTATAAGCAGTGGTCAGATAATGGGAAGCTTATTTACCTAGAATTTGGTTGCTCTCTAACATATTATTAGAATCTGCTTTGGTATCGAAAAAAGGAAAATAAACGTTTAAAATGTTATTTGTAATTTTAGGAAACATTTTAATTAACTTTATAATGAATAGAAAGTGAAAAATATGACAACTTCGGTCATCAAGTTAAAAATGTTGTAGTTTCATCACTGATTACTTAATAGTTACTACGTGACAGATACATCACTCTCATACAAAATCGAAAATATCTACGCTATAATAACCTACCAAATCTGTCTAATGACACCAGGCGTTCACTACGAGGATAAAAGGAATCTAAGCATGCGCTCAGAGAGGTGAAAATAACATTGCTCGCCATCATCAGACCTTTAAAGTTTACAGTCAACCAAAAAATATGAATGTAGAAATGTAGCGTATAAACTAAAAAAATATATTTAAGCCGCTCCCATACTTTAATAGCTTTCACAAGAAAAATTGTACTTTTTTAGTATAAAAGCATCCGAATATCCGACCCCCAGTTATAAGTAAGCTAAAAAATTTACCTCTACATTTTCTTTTGAAATACCGGAACTCACCTTTTCAAGTAAGGAGTTATAAGTAAGCTTGACATTTCCAGCGTCCAGTGATGCGGACTTACTGTCCTCACAGACCACTGTCGCAAACTCCTCGAAAGTGGTATCAGGCTTCACTTCAAATCCTTTCTCCTTCAATATTTCTTTTATCACTTTCTTTTCGTCGTGGAACCGCGCCTTTAAGTTCTCTACGTAGAACTTGAATAAATCCAATGGAGTTGAACCGTTTTGGCCTAAAAATGAGCATACTTTGTACCTACTTAGTATCTATTCAGATAACATTATACGCAACAGAAAATATACAACAAATAAATAGTTACAACTCACTTGATTGTTCTGAAAGCACTAATAAGATATTTGGAAAATCTAGAAAACGTCTTTAAAAAAAATCTGTAGATGAGAAGTATAGGATTAAAAGCCCTGTTTTGCAATTTAGATGTTTTTACAAACATTGCTTTGAATGCTAACAACCACGCAATGTTAACAGACTATAATCCTATCGTTGTTTGTTTTTTATCATATTTTATTCGACCTTAAGATTAATCTTAAATGTCTAATTAAGAGCCTCATTTTCTTTGAAAAGCTCTGTAGTAAAAATTACTATTTGGCACAAAAGATTTTTACCTCTAGCACAACAGTGTGCGACTTGTGCGAGAGTTACATAAAGCGCGAGATACTGCTATTTTCGCATAGATATCCCGTGCTTTATGTCGCTCTCGCGCAAATCGTGCTAATCCTGCAGAATTAACCTTTTACAGCGAGACGCGACTGCGATAGTTTCTAGCCCATTCTTTACGTTTGTTATAGCCAGAATGAAATACCACTTTTTCTTTTAGTAAAATACTAGTTAATGTAAGTAAAAGCGCCCCGTAGAGGACCAAACAATTTGTCAAATTATACTTGTTTGTCAAACTCGTGGTAGTGTTTTTCTCTTAATTTCAACCATTCTCTATACCAACGTATATTTTGTTTTTGTCTTAATACATAGTTAATACAGAGACTTAATCTTAAGACTTAATACATATCTTAATGATAGAGTTAATGCCAGAAATGCTTTATCTATTATTCTTACTCTTTGCACAAATTACAAAGAGATGTGACTCGTTGTACTATGTATAGTAGGTACGGTACGTATGACTGTAAAGTCAAAAGCACATCAAGCTTGACACTTTGGACTTTGGACCGCTCTTATTGCAAGTGTCATAGAGTTAAATTTAAACCTTTAATGTTAAGCTTGACGTGCTCTTGACCCTGTACACGGAGATGACCGAGTGTGAACTACAGGATAGTTCGTCAAACTTGTTTGATGGTTTATTTGATCGTTTGCGACATTGATTGAAGGAAACGTGAAGTTTGAACGATAAATACGACAAATTATTTGATCGTTATGGGGCTCTTTATAGCTAAGCCGCCGCAAGCTTCGCTGTTATAATAGTAGCGGGACCCAAGATGCGAGTGATGCGTTAACCCTATACTATAACGATGTAATCTACATCTCAAGATGAAAGCTTCCTATGATTATTGTCTTTGATTTAATATGGCATTTACTTTATTTAATTTAAGTCTTTTGCAGTTTATTACACTATATTCAAGGATTTCTGCTGTTAATAACGAAATATAGCACCACCTACTTGAATAATATGAATAAGAATTGTAATAAATCTGTGAATATGGTGCATTATATTCCGGTACCGCTAATAATGAAATGTAAGAAACGAAATAAAAAAGAAACCAGTTACGTATCGAGTTCTTAGGTTTTCGCGATTGTTACACATAGGAAATGAAACTATTTATATAACTAAAACAATAACGTTTTGACGCTTTATACCAGAAACACAAAATACCAAACGGCCAGAATGTCAGATTAACAGAACACCAGATACGCAGAATGCCAGATTAGCAAAATGCCAAATCAAATCAAAATTCCGAATGTCACTCCCAGGAACGGGACTTCGTCCTCCTCACGCACGAAGTAATGTCCAAAAGTGGACGTCATACGGCTGAAATTATGATGATAAAGAAGCGAGGTTCTGATGTTTAATTAATTTATTACAAACAAAATGTAGTTTCCTACTAAATAACTGATCTGATTAACTACTAAATACCTGATCCTTCCTTCATAAAGAAACTCGCTAACTTTACAGCTTCAATTAGGTATGACTAACTTAAATGTCTACACTGTCTACTACACTACACTGTCGACACTGTCTTAAATGTCTGTCTTTGTAAATGCCTACTCATCTCTAAGTAGGCAAAAAAAAGCTTTTCACTTTCCCTTTTTATTTTATTTAGCCAATTTCATAAATTTCATATTTATTTGTGATCACTCAGTTCCCACACTATAGAAATGTGAATTAACTAAAATATCCCAAAATATAAGCAATATAGAAATATTCGTCCTATTGAGGTTTAGTCAAAAAGCTTTACTATATACATGTTTTTCTTTTGGTGGCTTATTGGACAAGATAATTTGCTTTTCAATATCTCTTTAGTCATGTATGTAGAAGGGTGTCCACATAATAACATGTTGATTTTGCTATTTTTGCTAAAAATTTTGAAACGTCTCTTCTTTGAATTTTTAATAGATACCGGGTGGAAACTTGTAATGCCACCTGGAGGGAAAGTACTCTCAGGGTCGTATTCTAGAACTCTACTCAATGCTCAAGTCAGGATTTGAGAATGGTTTACAGCACTCGAAATCATACTCAAGTCCCTGCCATTAGGGTCGTATTTCCAGTGCTTGTGTTGCCAGGGCAATCCTGACTTGAGCATTGAATAGAGTTCTAGAATACGACCCTCAATCTCATATTTCCAGTAGGAGATAGAAATTTTTACTTAAAGGAAATATTCCTTTATTTTTTAAAAGTAATAAAACTGCATTGTTAAAAAATGAATTCGTCAAAAGATTAAATTTGTGGATCCAAGAAAATTTAGCTCCTTTCGAGCAAGTAATTAGTTAGATTACCATTTTTTTCGTTTTATTAAAACACGTTAAGATTTCATGGTTATTTTTGCGTTTAATTAACCAATTTTGTGAGAGAGATTTTATTCTTATAATTAACCCTATCGATCGATGCAATAAAAGTGCAGGGTGCATTTTTTTCAGATTAAAGCGGGTTCGATTCCCGCGTGTTGCTAGAAATTTTCGAAAATCTATGACTGCAATTTCATTTCTTTTAAAAAATAAAGGAATATTTCCATCTCCAGTACTTAGTGTACTTTCCCTCCAGGTGGCATTACAAATTTCCACCCTGTATAGTTCTAACTTCTAAATGCAGTTTAAGTAATGTTCGAACTTACAGAAATTGAGAATTCGAATGAACCTGTGCGCAACAGTTGGACGAATAATGGGCCGATGTTGATTCAAATGGAACAAGGTCGGCTATTTATTGCAGAAGCGTGACCAACATCCGGTCGATAGAATATTTATTTCGACTGCAATCACTAGCTCGCAAGCGCGCAACATTTTTACGCAATGAACTGTCATTTTACTTCATCTTCAAAAAATACAGATTATATGTGGATATATTTTTTAATTATTAATTAATAAATTAAAATAGTTTTAATTTTTTAAAGATTAAAATAGCCTTATTCCTGTGTTCAGTTTTTTGTGACTTCATGCTGGCAAATTAATTTATTCAAATTACAAGCCAATACTGTGTGTAGCAGCCACTTGAAAAAAATGCCATATTCTAACTTTAACAGTAACGTCTACGTCAGTACGGACAGCGACAAACTAGATGTTTGATAGAGTGCGCACGCTTCACGTGTTGCGAACCAATAGGAACGTCAAGCTTACGGCGGTTTACCTACAGCAAACTTCAAGAAGAAATTTGGAGTAAAAGTCGATTGTACTTACCGAGCATAGCTGAGAAACGCATGTCAGCAGAAATGACAGGATATAACTCGACCCACAGCGACATCGAAGTTAGCTTGCCCTCCTCATGCAGACTGTCTAGCAAGGCCTGCCAACGTGATCATAAAACAACCAATATATTTGTTATATTTTGTTATATACGTAATATTTAAAAAATCTACAACGATATTTGAGAGCATGCGAAATGTTCTCATCTGAAAATATCATCTTACCAATTCACTGTAAGTAAACCAAAACTTGTATAGCTGTCCTTAAAATATATACCTACGTTCAATAAGCTGCAAAAATGTATTTATATACAATAAAGTGAATGAATGTGGTTGACAAGAGATAAAGCACTGTCTTGAATGCTGAGAAAACTCGACAATATAAATAGAATAGCTGGGGACATAATACACTTTTGCATCCTGGTAACAGTAACAAATAATTTTCAAAGAACTGTACAGCATGATCACTTTAAATTCTTACCAAGAAATTGTCTCTATTCTTCCTCTGTTGACGTTTATTTCTTTTTTTAACTTGTTCTCTCTCTTGTAAATATTCGGCCTCTAAATTTCTAATATGTTGCTCAAACACTGTAAAACATCCATATAACAATAAGTATTCTTGGGAATCTTTTTTATTGAATTACATGTAATTTGTACAAAAACAATTAATATGTATCGATGCACTGGTAAAGGCACCTAAAGATAGAATTTTAAGGGGATTTATTGCTAAATTATGTAAATGTAGATATAGTACACAGGCTAAAAGCGCATGTTACTCAAAACTGGTCAAGGTACCTTTTATACGACACCGGACAAATTTATACATAAGGAATTATCACACAAAACTAAATTATATTTGACTTATCAATGAATAAAATTAGTTTACCAATAAGTGCATCTTCCTTGTCCATACCGAGTAGGCTGACGTCGTTTTTAAAAGCGGAATTTTCTAACAGCAAAACTTGTGCCTCACTCCATGTGCTGCTATACGTAATTTCACTCATATTCTCTAAAACCTAAAACGCAATTTCCACATACCGTCTTACACAAATTATAATCCAGGCAATAGAGAATCGTTGCGTGTTCTGTGTGTACACACAAAACATGCAACCTACTTAGTGCTTTTCCCACAGAAATATATCTAAATAGACACAGCAAGTACCGCGATCTGTATGAAAACCAAGCGTAACACATTTTTTATACTACCGATGACTTCACAAGCGCTATTTAGTGGCGGGAATCCTCCTTCGGCACTAAAGCGATTGATTAAATCGAAGACGCGGACGCAGCACGTATTTAGAATATTGATTTTTCAAGTATTTGTTGATTTTATGAAGCCGTAAAATATTAATACAGTAAAATAATACCCGAATAAGGTAATCAAGTCCTTTATTAATACGTATTTTGAAAAAATAGTTGCTCCTTAAAAAAAAAACAATAACAAACTTTATACAATATTTTTGTAACATTTTCTAAGGTTTTAAAAATTAACATCCCTTTGTTTCCTAAATTCATCGACACCTGTACTGCATCAAGTGAACATCACTAATCGTAAAATTTGATCAAAAACATTACGAAGCAGCCGTACCACGAAATTGAATGTGTTATACGAAAGAAGGACCACAAGTGTACCAAATAAAAGCCGCAATGTATCAGAATCACGCGGCATACACTCATTTGCATATTTGTTTTCTAAAAATTCATTCAAAATGAAAATAATTGATTTTAAAATAAAATTAGCATTAATACATATAAAATATTCTGACTACAAAATTACATAACTGCGGAATGATAAGTCCCTGTTTATTTATCTTCTCACAGCTGTGGTGTTTTTGCAGTTTCTAATGGCACAATTAGGCATTATTCGCGTTTTCGACTGAAGTTTAACTACGATAACGACCGGGCGCGTTTACATTGGGCACGCGAAGTAGGTATATTTGCGGCGTCTATTTAGATTTTCCGAACATAAAGGAGGTCGCAAATTAAACCAAAACACGATAAAAAATAATTTCCTTTTGGCGTGGAAAAATCATCCTAAAGGCTGTGGGTACAAGAGTCTTCTTTGTTACTTGGTCAGTCAAAATTTCACTTACCTGTGCTAACATTTTCATGTTGCGTTTTTTCAAAGTCTTTGCTTCTTCTTTTTCGCGTTTAGCAATTGTAAATATGCAATCTTCGAATATATCGCGGCGATCCGACTCGGGTACACAGCGCCATATCTGAATATTAAAAAGTTTCAAAGATTTCAGACACGGTATGCTTGAAGATGCTGGTTCGAATCCAACCGGATCGAAGGAATTTTTCTTAGTGTTCGAACTTTCATAAATAAATAATTATAAAAAATTAGTGGAGTTATTTTACAAAAAATAGTTGAGTGTCATGGTAGCAACACATTGTGATACCCAATAAACTTAAAAATTACAAACATTTAAAGATTTTTATATTACACTTGAAGTAATTTGTTTAACTTTAAGACACTTAAAAGTATGCAATCCTAACCTCAAGATTGTTAAACATTTCTTCACATTTGTAATATTTTGTTAGTGATGTCACACGATCACAGCCTAGCAGAAACTCTTCAAGATTTTCACGGTTCTTTTTGGTCTTCAATCTGGAAAAACCGATAAAATAAGCATACTCAAAGCATGTTACTGTTAGGCCCTCAGATTAGATATATAAAATATTACAAAAAATTACCTCTGTTCTTCTCTTTCGTCCTTAAGTTTTTGTGTCTTGTAAGCATTAAATGCTTGTTTTTTTTCATTCAACTTTTTAAAGGTCACGTAGCGCGGATCCTTGGATATTATTTTAACACATTGTTCCCAAGTGGCATTTGAAGGCACATTCTAAAAGGGAAACAATAATATGATTTTTAATTTAGAAGTATATGTGTTAAGGATGCAGAAGTGATGGCGATTGTAAAATATGATGAGACTTTTCAAAAACAACACATAGCTGTCATCTATTATGCTATGTGTTATGACCTGCAAATAGTTGTTTGTAAACATACCCGATCTTTGAGAAGTTCCTTGAATGCCTCAATGGCCTCCTTTTTGTCTTTGTACTGCATCTCTGGAGCCTGTTCTGGGGTCTCTGCAGCCACGGTCTGTGGCGGTGCTACTATTTCTTCAGGTTTTACTGAAATTACAAACATATATAACTGTACTTGTTTTGATTACACTTGGCTCATTTGAAAATAGTAAATACACATTACAGTTACTTTTGTTTATTTTTAAAATTATGTAAAAAAATTTATTAAGGTATAATATAAATTTAAACTAATAAGTAAGCCCGGTAGGACAATTTGGGGAATTAATGTTCTTTTGGTGGGTTCTATTCTGGTCTGGATGATCCAGGTAGTACGCCTGAGGGAGTACTGATAATAACTGGGAATTACCTAGTTTGAGACCAGGTGTTAGTTTATTTATTTATGTGTGATTGTCTGGTACTTTATTATTTTGCACAATAATCATATTTTCCACAGGGTTAAAAACTCTACTTACTTTCTTCAGGGATAGGTATATTGTTAGTCAAATTGGGGTCAATGGAGGCCAGTGTTTTGGCCATGGCTTCGTCAAGCGCAGAGCTGCTCGTAGGCGCCATCGAGGGCGACCCTCCAGGGAGCGGTACTTCACCAGGGGTTACATCAGCGCTCAATGCTGCTCTGTAACAAAGAATAAACAACTAACTTTTGCCTTAGCAACTTTCAGATTTGCCCCTGGATAATAATAATTTATTTATTTAACCATAATAACGACGTCATTACAAAATTTTCCCCATTCAACAATGTGGAGCAGTCATACAAAAATGTGCAAATTATTTATTTATGGTAGGTAACACTTCAATACATTGTGGTGGGAAGGGCGTAGAAGCCAAACAAAGTTTACAAGCAGAGTGAAAAACAAAAATTAAGTAATGTATAGACAGATAGAAAGTGCATGAAAATTTAACCCAATGGTATGGTATGATATGGTGTAATGGGCTGGTGCCCGCAACTCAATGTCCAGGCCCCTAGTTTTGCGTGTGGTGGGTGGTCCAGGGTCCTACTTGCGTCACCCAAGCCCCGCCAAGAATCTCAGCACCCTCCTGGGTTGCTGAAGACTTCGGGGAGCTAACTCGACTTTCCAAGGTACTTCGCCCTTTAGACCCAATTACATTAATAATTTAAAGTAAACATTGGCTTTTGTATCCTTTCTTACTCTGAAGTATTGATAGATCAACTATATATAATATTATTGGAATATTCCTCTTAATATAATCATAGGACACATGTTTACTTACTGGGCAGCTTCCTCTGCAGCAATTTTGTCCTTGATCTCCTGCATTTCCTGTGGGATCACCCAGCTAGACTCCTTGGTTTCAATGTTGTGGTAGTACACTCTGCCTGCATCTGTTGTGTACTCCTTCCACACACAAGCCGATAGCAGTTTCTGTTGATGTACAGACAATACATACTTTTTAGTGTTTATACTTCTTTTAAATATTCAACAGTATAAAGCTGTCATTAAAACAAAAATAAGGTTTCGAAAAATAGAACTCTCAAATTTTTTTTTTTTTTTTATACAATTACCAAGTGACGGGATGAACAAGTCGTGCGCCTGGTGGCAAGCGACACGCCTAACCATAACAGTTGCAATGCCACTCAGAGCTTGACACATCGAGTATATAACCAGAAATAGAGATGAAATAAGGGCCATATATTCCTGTAACACATTAGCGATACAGCTCTTATAAATATCAACTCCCGTTTGCACTGAAATATAGACACGCCAACTACTGACCTGTGTGTATGTCTCCGTATATTCCATAAAATATTCTGTATTTATTGTAATAAAGATAATACCTCTAACAATGCCGTGCTGTTCTATTCGGTGGTGTGGGAAAAACAACAAAACATCTAATTACAAAACACACGGAATCATATTTCATCGGTAATTAAATATTAAATA